TTTATCAATACAGAAAAGTAATCTGCAGGCTGTTTCCATTCACTTCTGATTGATTTGAAATATATACCATTCCTCAACTTTGAGAAAATACTCGAGGTGGTATATATACCACGCCCGCCAACAAAGGGTCAAATGTGGGAGATAAGAGAAATAGCTAATTCAAAGCATAAGTTTTATTATCGTTGTCGTGCCATACATTATTTCACCAATATGAGATCAGCTCAAGTTAACAACAAAAATTGGCTGTGAAGAGTTTCTCTGCTGACCACCACTTTAGTTGAGAAAAGTGGGAATTGTACAAAAATATTGTATTATTAATCGAAACATCGTCAGAATTCTACTATGATAGTTATTTGTTAGGAATATAATATGCTGTTTTTACAGAAACTTAAACCTATAAAATACTTGTCATATAATTGTAGATATCAAATGGTAAGAGATTTGATGCTGAGTGAAAGTAAAATATTCGATTTCACATCAAAGAACAAATTAGTGAGATTGGTGGATTTTCGCTATTTGACAAGTCATTTTTTTGAGGAGGATTTTGTACATCTATTAGACGGTACAGCGCTTGTTTGAATCGGTTAAATTGAAGGGTACTTAACGGCTCGCTGTGCTTCTTTTCAAAGTGTACACGAGCATTTTTTTCTTCGCGTTCTAAATTGGATTTCAAATCGCTGGCATAGGTGAGTAGTTCGGCTCCATCTTGAAAGTCAAATAACATTCTCAATTCAGTACCGATACGAGTCTTCTCAAACCATAAACTGATATCATCCGATGTTCAAGTAGTTATAGGTCTTTCTAATGCTGTCGAACTATTCGAATCAATTGACGCTGTAGGCTTCGGATCACTATCTGCTAACGTACAGTCTTGCTCTCGTTTTGGGATGACCTCAGCTGATTTGTTTAGGATTTCACTCAGTTCTTTAAATGCGATGTCAAACGCTTTTTTACTAAAATCGATGTAAGCTAAGCCGGCTGTTCGAATGCCTAACCATCCCGTTGGCTTGTACTCTTTCTGCATATATATCGGTATTATTCGCTTTTTCTGCATGTCTTTGGCGTATGATAGTTCTTGCCGACACGATTTACTGTCGTAGTAGTTTTTCGACATGATCAAAATAATGGCATCTGCTTTTTCGATAGCCGCAGCAATCTCCTCCCACAAATCATTAGAGTGTACCGCTGCACTATTAATGTTAAGAAAATCGACCCAGAAATGCGTTTGTTTAGACGACTGTTGTAAAGTATCGATCAAAGTTTTACAAAATACTTTATCGGCATGTGAGTAACTAATAAAAATAGAGGAACTAGCGTTCGTAGAATGCGTTGTCGGTAATTTTGAGATGTTTTTGAGGTTTAAATTAAATAGTATTCCATCAGCTGCTTTTTTTATGTTTGATAAATGTTTCTGAAAGCTGTATTGTGCAAATAACTCTTCATTATTTTCTTTCTCAGCAGTCGCTTTTATCGTACTTACAAATAGCTCATTTTGCTTCATTTCTGTTTGATATTTATCATTGAAAGAAATACTCCACAGAATGTTAAATAATGTAATACATGTGAGTTGTAATAAATTGTCGCTTTGATTGTCGATTCTAGTACGTATTAGGAGATCACAGAAAAATTGTACTCTCGACGGTAATAGAATGTGATTTTTTACTTGAGCGTGTTTCAGAACGTAATCGACCACATCGTCATTCACGAATATCTTAGTCAAGACGACAAGCAATTCCGATATATGTAAGAGAGTGTCTGTTCTTAGCGTTGCTGATTGGGATGTTTCTATTGTTAAATCGAGTATTGTATCAAGAATATTATTCGTGGTCCTTTCATCTTTTTTTATTTCTTCCGGTTCTAACAGTAAAGCAGTGGTCATTGATTGATACAAACTTATTTTCACTGTTTCTGTTTCGTCAATTTCTTTTCCATGTTTTTCGATTACTTGCTTTTTATACATAGCTAACTGATCTTCCGCCTGATGATCTCTAAGGGCCTGAGCACCTTGATAATGCCGAGCGGTATTGTATACAATTGGCATGAGTGAACGAGTATACTGGCTTTCTGATAAAGAAATAGTCATCCATTGTAAAAAGGCTTTGGCATCGTTCGTTAACGATGTCCGGGGAAACGCAAGACTTTTGAATGCTATTCATCTGTGTCCGTTCTCGTCGATCCTCCATCCAGAGAACATCCGCTTCAGAAAATTTGTTTATTTGGTGGTCCAAATGTTTTGCTTACTTTATTGAGTATAACTAATTATTCCTCGCAAGTTCGAAGACTTGTGCATCTCATGAAGATGGCTGCTCAGAAACAACATCAGGGTAGTTGAAATCAGAAAGAGAAATCGACGCAGGACTAGCATTGGTCACAAATTTAAGTAGGTCACTTAGGATTAGTCCGATAGCGGTTGGTACTGGAACGCCTTCAGGAGCCCTTGCGAGTGTTTTGTGGATGAAACTAAAGGTCATTCTCAGCAATTGCTTCATTAGCTGACATAACACAAAGTAAACCACCCTCATAATAAAAGATCCGAAAGCGATTTTCAAAACATGTTCTACAGGTGTTGGTGCTGTATAAACCAATAAAGCAGACATTCCTGTACACTACTCAACCTGCTCTTTCGTATTACAACATCAGCCTTAACTAGTTTTTAACTTCGACTTCCTTAATGGAAGGTTACCGGTAGCCGGCCAAGCTGTTGTGGAAAAGGTCGATCGGTTGCTATGTAAATTTTGACTTAGGAACTGATTTTCCAGAGATCCCCTGAAAAACTGATTTCAGAAACGTTTCTGATTACGAAAATATTTGTTAAAGTGTTCTCCGTCGACTGCCGAAAACTTCAAAAACCAATGGTTCTCATTCATACTTTTCCCTTTTTCAAGAATCTTCAGTTTTCTGAAGAACAAGACCTTTGTTCTTTAAGTTGTTTTTTTCCCTATGGGAGGCAGCTTGTTCTTCAGAGAACAGATTTTTCAAGAATTTCCAAAACACTGAAGAACAATGTTTGTGTTCTCTGAAAAACACAAAAGGTGAAGATCACACTTTCTGAAGAACAACACTTTTGTTCTTCAGCTTTTATGTTCTCTATAGGAGACAAATTGTTCTCTGAAGAACTCGTTTTTTAAGAACTACTAAAAAGTTGATGTACATAATTTTCGTTCATTAGAGAACAAGAATGTCTTTCTTCGCCGTGTTTTACATCTGTTTTACACAAATATCGGCTGAAGAACTCAAATCCTCGTGTTTCCATTTACTTTAAGAACATGGCTGTCTGCTCATATATAGAACTACCGTCATAGAAGATTTCGATCAGTTTGTTGGTATAAAAAGTTATTAGTAAGTTGAAATGTAGGTGCATTAATAAGCAGAAAAGATGATGCCAAATAAGAAAAGTTTCTTGCATAAGCACAGAAAAACAGGTTTCGTTAAACATAATACAGCATAAATGAGAAAATAATGTCAGAAAGAGTATAAAAAATAGCTCACTTTGTGAAACAGCATACAAGAAAAATGTGTAGATGAATGAAACAAATGTTAGTATAAAAGCATGCATCAGGTTAGAGAGGATTGAGCTAACTAGTACCAGATGGAAAATCTAATCTTCAATGAAGTAATCAATCGCAACTCAACTAAACTACATGGTTGAGGAGAACAAAAAAGGCAGAAACATCATATGCCATAAGTGGCAGATAGACAAACATGCAGAATTAAGAATAATGTTCGATAGATAACACACACGAAAGAAGAGAAATCTCATGAGTGTCTTAAAAATCTCCTCCTATGTTCTCAAGCTAACTGTAATTTTTTAATTAACGTTCGAACAGCGCTTTAACCACTAACCGCGAATTTTTGAGTAAAAGAAAATCAAAGAATTCATTAGTTTTTTTGTCCCTTGATAAAAATCAATATTGAACAAATGAAATAGACCTTTTTCTTTATGAATGGGCAAAAATTTTAATACGCATAATAAAGTGACAGCAATAATCTTCATTTTATAATAAAATGAAGATTACTGCTGTCACTTTATTATGCGTATTGAAATAGACCTGCCCATATCACTACTGCTTCCAATGAATTAGCTGCTCTAATAAGATGATTTGAATCTAAGGCATACTAGTATAGACGGTCAAGGACTTCTTAGACATTTTGGATCCTTAATGTAAAAATTAAAAATAGTGCATGGGTTATTTCACTACACGCAAGGTGTGACTTTTAGTGCTGTAATAAGAAAATTCGAATTAGTCCACTCGTTTTAAGAACTAGACCTCATAACGGTACACTCAAGATGTTGCAAGAGTTGGAGTGACAAATTTTCTTCATATTTTGTTTTTATTTATAACAGTCGTAGCCATTGCATATACGACCGTATAGAGTGCAGATTCTTCCTTTAACAACTATGGTCAAGAAGGTAGAAATTCGATGTTATTCTAAGCGTGCAAATATTCGTAGTTATATTTACACAAGAGTGTAAAACAAAACAATGATTCAAGAATTTCCAAGATATTGCTACAAAAAGTCAAGATGTTCAAGATCTTGACTTCTAGAAATTGAATTCTTAGATTTTCTTACCAAGACCTTGAATCAAGGTCTTACTGAAAAACGTCAAGAAGTCAAGATCTTGTTACAAGAAGTTCCACTAGGGTGGATTCTCGGATCCCACAGTACTGTATATATGCTTCGATTGTATAAAATGGCTGTAGCACGGAGTTAGGGAGATCCGAATCGATTTGATCTGCAGTTTGCTACTCCATGGAAACTGGAGAAAACTTCTTCGTGATATGGACAAATGAAGTGAAATAATCAGTCGTGTAACGCGTAACAAGATCGCTATTGGACGAAAAATGTCCCGATTCTCGCGATCACTATAAACTCCCGATGAAAAGGGGTCTTTCCACTTGCGAAACTCACGACATGATTCCCGGCTGTCGCCGCGTGAGTCCCATATTTTCCGCAATATTTGGGTGTGAGTCCTTAATCTAGCGATGTGACTCACGATGTTATTCTAAGTGTGAAAATATTCGTAGTTATATTCACACAAGAGTGTAAAACAAAACAATGATTCAAGAATTTCCAAGGTATTGATACAAAAAGTCAAAAAATTACAAGATGTTCAAGATCTTGACTTTTAGAGAACTTCTTCGTGTGACGGACAAATGGAGCGAAATAATCAGTCGTACGGTACATGTTTCCCAGGTCGACTCTCACGGCAAAGTCACGATGTGAGTGACGGAAAATAGTCAAGACTTGAAAGCGTAACGCGATCGCTATTTCTAACAGAAACAACATGGGCCAAAATTCACTTGGCATCAGGCCAGTTTAACTTTTCTAATATAGTATCCCATTTTACATATTTAACAATGATCATTCTCTTTATTCGATAGTATATTGTAGTTTGGAAGAGACCAAAATGGTTGCATTCATCACGTTCCTTTCTCTTCTCTTATTCTTCTTGTATGAGTTGATAAAACGGAACAATAAAAGAATATTTTTTGAGCAGTTTTTATCTTTCGTGGTTAGATGAGTGTAGAATAGAAGCAAGGAAAGATACCAAGCTGAAATATATCTGATACAAACAGTTTTTATTTTCACATAAAGCGTCAACATGCACATGATAGAGTGATCACTGATGCATGAATTATATGCGTATATCCTGCCGATTCATCGTAGAATATAACCGATAAGGTAATGTTTGCTAGGTGTGAAGAAAACCTTGTTACTTCTACTTTCGGAGAG